TCTACTGTTCCACTTAAAGCATTTTAAATCACAAGGACAAGTAAAGTCCTGTATTCTCATGGTTTCTGCAGGTTTATGAAGGTGAATTTATGTCAATATGTTCTCTAAATGTAAATGTCTATATACTGATTTGTATTAGCAGCACTTCAAAGTTTGAAAGTACAACTTCCAACCAGTGTTATTTTAGTCTCACTGAGATGGTGTTATAGTTTATTCATATTTTGAATTATTTTTACATTATGTTTGAATTAAATGTTAAAGTTTTAGTAGTTTTATGTTTTTTTAATATGTCTATATACTTTTTTATAAATTTTTTATCTCAGTTTAAATTGTAGTACATCACGTTAAACTAAATGAAAATAAGAGATGTTGGCTTGGCAATTACCTTAAAAAAAAGCAAAAAAAACAAACAAAAAAGTATAAAAATTTTTGTATGTTTTCAGTTTCAAGTTTCAGTTTCTGAAAACAAGACTTAATATATTCACTTTGCATCTCAAGTAATGGTATCTTGATTCAAGGATGTTTAGTTATTTGTATTGGAAAATGAGACAGAAATACAGAGGATTATATATATATATATATATATATTTTTTCTTTTTCTTTTTTTTTTTGCAATGCATGCAACATTTAATGCCATGACTTTATGAATTAAATACTTTCTGCTCAGATTTAAGACCTTTTTAAGGCCTTGATTTGTGAAAGGGCGAATCAAGATGTTTTAAGATCTTTTTTATGTCCAGTAGAAACCCTGACGATGAACCCTTTAAAGAAGGCAAGAGAACAACTAGTTGTTATTCAATGAGAGGTCGAGAAGAGAGCATATACTGCTGACATCATCTGATTCATAATCTCTGCAGAGAGAGCGAGCGCTGATAATGCGCATGCACAGATTCTGACCTAAACTCGCCCCGCTTGCACAGACAAGTTTAGAGACACAATGAACATCTGAAATCCCGTGCAGACGCATGCTATCGTATGCAATACAGAGCAACAGGAGCACAGTGGGATTGGGCTTCTGTGACACAGCAGTTGTGCAAATAATCAAAGATTTGTCCAAGCATATCACGCATCTGTATACTAGACTTATGATATGCCAAACCTGAATGTGTCTGAATGTGCTCTCCAGGTAAGAATGACATATTTGGAGAGATGATCCACCTGTATGCGAAGCCTGGGAAGTCGAACGCAGACGTCCGCGCACTCAGCTACTGCGACCTGCACACCATCCAGAGAGAGGAGCTCCTGGAGGTTTTGGACATGTATCCAGAGTTTGCAGACTATTTCCTCACCAATCTGGAGCTGACCTTTAACCTACGGCACGAGAATTCAAAGGTACTTCCCATCAACAGCTAGAAATGATGCATACAAAATAGATTAAATTAATGCATGTTGTTGTTGGGATCTTCTGCTCAGGCCACTTATTCACCAGCCAGTGATTCAGACGGAGAGGAGACCAAGAGCCAAAGGAAGATCTCCTTTAAACGTAAACCATCCAAAGGTGAGTATGATGTATTTATTAATTATATTACACCATGCTACTGTTGCAGAAACTTGAGAGTCAAATGGTTACAATTACCAGTCTCGGTTCAGATTAGTAGCCAACCCTCATTACAAAATACACCACAATGTAAAATTTGAAGAAAAAAAAAAAACAAAAAACAAAAAAATATATATATACACATATATATAAATATATATATACCGCACAGAAGAAATAATATGCCGCGCACAGGACAGACACAAAAATTAGTTGGGAAAACCATTTGATTGAATTCTAGTAATTGCAAAATAATTGTTATGCTCAGGCAAACCGCTATAGAGTTGGTGTCACTATAGAGTTAGAATCGGTGAATGCAGTTTACAGGTTTCATAGAAATGATTAAGTGGTGGAAATAGCAGATGATGGGCACAGAACGGTAAAAAAAACTCTAAGACATTTACAGTTACACACAGCATGATTTATAATTAATAGAATTTCCTGTTAAGTAACACAGCACTGAAAAATGCTTTCTCGGGTAACCAAGAATATTCATCATTGAGTTACATCAAGGGTCAAAGCAAATATAAATAGAACATTAAAATTGTGTGTGCACTGTACAGGTCTGGTATAAAGAATGTTTTCGCTCAGATGGCCGAAATGTCCGGCTAATAGAGAAAAGGAAAATTAGAGGGAACCAAAAATTAGAGAGAACATTGTATGCGTGTGTATATATATATATATATATATATATATATATAT